CGGGCCAGGATCAAGACTGGTTTCCAGCCTTAACTACAACTAAAATTACAATCCACTTTTTTGTTATAGGGTTTCTATCATTTAAGCTATTTTTGCTGCTTTTGAAAGATTGGAATGGGGCCACTTAACTATTCCCAAGAAAAACAAGTAATTTGAGTCTTAAAAAAAGGGAAAAGTTTATATGGAGCTTAGGCTCTAAGCAATTAAATTAGAGCCTACCTCAAAATTTTCACTAGAAGAGGTTGTTTTGATGCCCAAATATCCTCAAATTGATCTTCTCAACATGAAAATGCATGGACTTGATAAAAAATGGATTTCAAGTTTTGGAAATAGTGCTTCTTGTAATGCATTTTTGAACCATCAAAATGTAAGTTATTCAAGTTTTCATAGATATGCTCGATCTACACTATTTTTTAGCTTTAAATTTTATAATTAAAGATAAAAATACATTGTAAGGCTAGTCAAAGATTTCCGATATTGAAACCGACACTATTTGAAGGTGGGCTCTAATTTGATTGTTTAGAGCCTGGGCTCTATGCAAACTGCACCCAAAAAAAGGGCTATTTGAGTCTTCTATGTGAATAAATTTGTAGAGAGATGCACATTATATGTCCCCCTTTTGAGCTGGCGTACACTGGAATTTGTCATATCAAGGTTGGCAAGCCACCATTATTAGGCCTTTATAAAACAGCCATACACTCATTTAACATAAAGGAAAATGCTGTACTTTATTTCACCTAATAGTTACCATACGAAATTCTTTTCCCTCTTTTTCTCTCAAATAATTTGAAGTTTTTTTTTGAAAAGTTAACTTCGAATCAAATTATTTGAAGTTTTAGAAGTGGCCTCTCTATCTCACTAAAAATAATTGAAGAGTTTTTATGCTCTTGCAGGAGTATACTATCAATTTATTCCCTCTGGTAAACCCCAACCTAGAGGTATTTCAATACCCCAAAATTTGTGTTCAAACTAGAGACCAACTTCAAGAAGAAAAACATAATGAAAATAAAATATCAATTTCACTCTACAAGAGCTAGAAAATAATAGGGAACAAGTTTATATAAGATTGCAATCTTAAAATGTAGAAAAAAAATGCACTTCAAAAATCTGGCATAAGAAGTTGTTTTAATGCTGGAAGACCCTTGAATTGATCATCTCAATATCAAGATATATGAATATGGAAAGAAAAAAGATTTTTGGTCTAAAAAATAATGTATTTTGCAACACATTATCTGGACCATCCATTTTCAAGATTTTCATGTGTTTATAGATCTACTTGATTTGAACAATTTTTAGAGTTTAAACTTTTATAATTAGAGATAAAATTAGATTCTCAAGCCATCCTGACACCAAAAGTACATTTATGATAAAATTTGGATGAGTGCCTTTATTTGATTGTTTAGGTTGCAACCTTATGTAAACTATACCCAAATAATAGCTTAGACATCCTAAACTTGAACTTAAGAGTGTCCAATTTCTAGACAGCCAAATCTAAGTGCTAAATAAATAGACTCCACATCCTAAAATTGAACTTAGATCGTCCAATTTCTAGACAGACAAATCTCAGTGCTAAATTTTCATAGCCTTAAGTAGCATTTTACCTGAGAAAGTAAATAAACAGTATGCTCCTACAGGAGCACAGTGTGCACCCTGATACTTAGTCTCTCTCTAATAAAAAATTATCCTACACCCAAGAAAGAGAGAGAGAGGGAGAGGGAGAGTGAGTTTAGACTTTGCTTTCATTAAAAAATGAAAAACGAGGTTAAAATTGAAGCAAATGTTCTCTGATCAATCCGTACTTCTTGTTAACGGCTTTGTCTTTATTATGACGTAGTTTAATGGTTAATTTAACGAGCTATCTATCTGCGTAATCGTGATTAAGCATTGAATTAAATTAATCTCTACCGGGATTAGCAAGTTCCCCTGGGGGAGGAGGTTTTTTCGCATGCCGGCGGCCGCATCTATTCGATCTTGACACTATATTTCACATGTCGGTAATAACTAAGACCACCACGATTATAAATCTCAATGAAAAAATTAAAAATAAGATTTCAATTAATCTATTTTGAAACATTTCTTTGAAACGCCAAAATATTTCATACTCCTAAGTGACAAGATTGTACAACTATTCCAATTAGTATAACACAATCTAGGAGTACTTTTAGGACCTAGGATGTGTCTTCACCGTAATGAATAACCTTAAAAAACAAAAATTTCAAATTTCACTATGGAAAAAACAAAATTCTAATATTGAACATAGACCATTCGATTTTTGGAGGGTCAGATCTGAGTGCCTAAAAACTCAAAAAATCTAGAAAATAATCATACGGTGATTCTTGGATACAAAAATGTCATATTAAAAAGATCTCTCAAATAGTGATTTCACCAAATGGAGCAAGTGTACAATATATACTCCCGTGGGAGCACAACACATAACTCTCAAAATAAAAAGATGGTAGCGGACCAGTTGCCAACACAAATATCTTTTTGTTGGATCAACGAGTCCATGGCGAACCGCACATGCTTTTTGTAAAAGTGAACGAATATAATGAAAATGCTTTTATCGAATTTTTTTTCCTTTTTTGAATGTTAAAAAATATCCTAATATTCTCTAGTCATAAAATGTGAAATCAAGGGGATAAGACGTGCCATTAACGGAATTTGAAGCGGCGTTCGAAAAATCAAACTGGCCAAGGGCCAATTTCGATTAACCAGTAAACTAGCCGATTTAACAGGTGTAACGGGGTAGGCCCTGGCTGGTCCAAAAAGTGTTAAAAAATACAAAACAAGAAAAAAAAAGTATATTTAAAACTTGACTAAGATAAGCACATCCAAAAAAAATTGAAAAGTAAAAAAAAAAATGGATTTGTGTTAAGAGGTATTTTAAAAAATTCTAAAAAATATGAAAAATATAAAAATAAGTATTCATGGCCAAAACACTTTTCAATCTTTGCTAAAATTATAAAAAGCATTTAGAAATACATTACAAACAACTCTCTTATTTTTTTAGATTAATTACATACTTTTTAAAAAAAAATTAAAATATCCGACCAGACCACCAAAACCGGCCAAAACTAGATCGACCACTGCCCGATGCGTGCCAGTTTGACCTGCCTGTTCCAAGTTGGATCAGCCAAATTTACAAGCACTGATTTGAAGTTTGTGAGTTTCTTTTTGAATTTTATACAAAGAAATAACGTACTCCACCATTTTATATTCGCTTGTCTTGTACACATGAAAAATACCTCTTTCCTTGTATACATTTCGGCCTTATCCAACCGTCCATTTTTTAACGGAGGGCTAAGATTGCCCCAATCACAATATCACATCTCTACACTATTTTATTTTTAATTTTTTCTATAAACTATTTTGACACTAAAATTTGAACGTCCTTTTCTCTATTAAATTCGTACTAACGAAAAATATATAAAAAATATTATTTCAATAAAAAATGATCAAAATACCCCTGAAAGCTTCAAAGGGTATTTTGGTTATTATTTTTTTCGAAAAATTATTGTTAGTATTTTTTATAGGTGCACCCCAATGAGAAGATGGCAAGTACCAAATTTCATATTCAGAAAAATTATATTAAAAAAATTAAAAATAAAATACTTTGAGACGTCAGATCTAAGATCAAACGGTGAGTAGTTCTCTTGATAAAAAATAGACGGCTGGATGATAAGGGAGGATAGAACTCCTTGTAGGAGAAACATAGAGAGCTTTTCCATTCTAAAATGCCCATTATGTATTTCAAATTTGGTAAAATACCTTTACAATACTACAAATTTTGTAGAACTTTCACTGTGATATCCGAATTTGGAAAATATATCTTATACAAAAGTTAAATGCACATACCAATTAATTTTTTTTATCCTTAAAAATGAAGCCAGACCCCTAATATGTTTAAAATTTGGCAAATGCGTATAAAATACTGATTTGTAAAACTATCTCTATGATATTTGGGTTTTGGAAAATATACCGTATACATTAATATATTTATACCTATTTTTTGAATTTTATTCACTCCCTAATTCAGCTCAAGTTAAAGTATTTCCCCTGTCCTCACAAAAGCGAACAAGTGTTAACTTCTTACTAGACTTTTTTTTTTTTTTTTGGAAAATTGTTCCGGGGATGCATTTTTACGTTTGAGTCTCCCTAGGTATTAAAATATCTATGGAAATGGGTGATCTAAAAACCAATGATCCAAATTTTTTTATATAAAATTACTATTTTTAATTTTTAAAATCTATCTATATTTTCATATGCATGATCTCTATGTTGGAGATTATATGCTATTAAACTTGGGTTAAAAAATCCATCTTAAAAATAATTTTTTAAGAGGGGAATCATTTATGCATGGGCTCATTAAAGTTATTTTATTTTTTTTTATAGTTTCAATAGTAGCAATTGAATTTAGGATTTACTTTTGCTATTTTTTTCTATATTAGTAGGGGGGCAATTGGTCGGGTCGCGTCTAGCTTGACCTAGATCCAAACCTAAAAATAATTGTGGGACCTAGACATAGGCCCAAACCCAACTAAGTCTAAAGTCCCCAAACCGCGGCCCAGACCCGAGTTGATTAAGAGGTCCAAACACAGAACCAGGCCTAAACCCGACTAAAAAAAGAGAGAATAATTGGAGACGAACCTAGACTCAAACCCAAACTCGTAAGAACTACATGGAATGAGTTCCGGACGCAAGGCTATTGAACGCGAACCCGACCCATAGGGTCCAACCCCTACCCTATACCCAGACCAGGGGTGGGGTCTACGTGGGTCTCGGGTCCACCGGTTGCAATTGCCACCCATGATTAGCACTGCATCCCTACTCTACTTATGTTTTGATAATTTTCATCTTTGGAGGAGTGTCCATTTATTTGCTGAGTGAATTAGTGTCCATAGGCGTGTCATAACCGCTTTGTACTTTGTACCATTCCTCTCTCGTAAAAAAATAAGACACTTCGGACACTGATTCGTTTAGACACTATAAAAGGCATCACTGTTTTACTGCTCTCCCTCTCTCACCTCTTCTCTCCTGTCTTTCTCTCTCATCTGTCTGTCTTCTTCTGCACATTTTCTCTCTTCTCTGTCTGTCTTCTTCTGCACGTTTTTTCTCTCATCTGTCCCACTCTTTTCCTCTTCACAAGAATTACTGTGTTTCTCTATATCTTTCTCTCTCTGTTTTCTCTCATCTTTCTCTCTCTTTCTTCTGCAACAGAGGGAGCGTTGCAGGAGAAAGAGAGCAATGGAGAAGGCGTTAACGAGAGTTAGCAGCATGTGGATCTCCAGAAAAGCTAAAGAGGAGTTCTCCTCCATTGGAGAAGACATCACTGTAAGTGCAAATGCTTTTCCCCTGCTGTTGAAACCATCCTCTTTCCTTTCTCTTTTCTTGCTCTTTTTCCATGTTTTTAGCTTTCACTGCTTTTTCCCTTCTCTTTCTTATTCTCTTTGCAGCTCTTTACTTTCTTTCTAAACCCCTTTCCCTGGGTTTTATCTCATTAGTTCACCTGCATTGTCAATTTTGAACCCTAATTTTGTACCAGATCTGCTCTATTGTCTATTGGAACCTAAGTTGTCCCTGCAATTGTCGCCATTTGCTTCGAAGAAGCTGCATTGATTATCTGCAACAAGAGTGCTTCTGTTCCTATTTTATAGTTACCTGATTTTTCATATATTGTCAACTGATGCGATGAGTCTCGGATAAGATTCGAGTTTCAATATACAATCACAAGAAAGAAAATGAAGACTTTCGTATATGGATCAGTGATGTCCTCTTTTAGGGTTTTACAGATCATTTTGTTAAGGCCATAATAGTTTTCTATAGCAATCCTATGTGTTGAATCATTGGAACATTTTGCATTATTTTTCTTACAGTCTAAGCTTGAATAGAGCACACCGAACTAGTTTTGAGGGAATTATTATTATGATAAATTCTTTTACAAGTCTGCATGAAACGAATCTGGGTGGATCTTGTCATGGATATGTCTGTTTTTTGTGTCATTTTTTTATGTAAATTCTTTTACAAATCTGCACAAAATGGGGCTGAATCTCGGAGGATCGTGGCAGCAAGGCTACTCTGCCACTTGCAATATCCCATTGTTTATTTAAGCCCTATGTACTGCCAGTAAGCAGATAGGAACTGTGCTGCAAGGCAATTATGTGCTTTGTAGGTGTCAATGTATATATGTATGTAAATTTATGCCTATGTATGCAATTTTGCATGTATGAATGAATATACGCATGCATATTTTCTTTGTTTTTCAGAACAAAATCACTGGTTATTATGAAGAAAATAGAGAGATTCTTTGTAACCTTGGCACCTGGTTGAAGAATTTAAGTGATTTTTTACAGATCAAGGCATTCTGTAAATTCTTTCCACCATTACTGGTTGTTGGGACGTTTGAAGCCCTCAAACTAGTTGAATTTGAGGGGTGGCATTAGGGGTTCCAAACTCAACCTAATTAATATAATGATGTTACCATATGTTTCCATGTGAAGCGTAATTATGTCATGGGTGTCGTAGTTTCGTTTTATTTTACATATGTCTTATTTTCTACTTGCATTCTGGGATTTCTCCTTTATTTCATGTGTCATATGTCTAATTTTCTGCTTGCATTCTGGGATAGAGAGCGAGAGAGAGAGAGAGAGGAACTACACATTATATGCAATAAAGTCAACTTTAATAAAAGCCCAAAGAGAGAGAGAATGATGGGGAGTCATTTGGTAGCCTACTCTTGTTCTCTCTCTCTCTCTCTCTCGTTGTATGTTGTTGGAATTCTGCACCTTTTGTTTTTGGTGGGAAAGCAGAGATTGAAATTTACCCTCCATAGAAGGGGGTGATTGTCTATCACTATATGTGAATTTGAAAATTAGATTTGTGAATGAATCTGTTTCTTGTTCTCTTACTATGAATCGAAACCTTTGCCTACCATTATAGTGAAATAAACCCTGTTGTTTTTGAGCTGACATTTGATCTTATTATTGCCACTTTGGCAGTCTCTCTCAAATACTGTTGAAGAAAAAGCAAAATGGATCTTCAACAAGCTAAAAGGTACATAGATACTCCCCAACCTTAGTGCATCTATGCATATTTTTAGTAGAATATATAAAAGTAAAACTTAATACCTTGCTGGTGCATCTCCAATGTTTAGCATATGGTTTTGTATTCCTCACCTTAGTAAAAGGGATCTTGATATTTAAAATCTAGTGAGTTGATCATGTATATTGGTTAGTTTTGAATGACTAGATTCCTTGGTCTTGAACTAGGTTCTGTTTAATCTATTGGCTTTCTAAACTAGTGGAACTTTGTGCAGTTGACAAATTAGAGCCCATTTGATAATTTAATTATGTGTTTCTCTTTTGTTGCATATACATTCGATGTTGTTTTATGGATTTCTTTTGTCATTTATTTTGATTTTGATAGATCCACTTATATGTGTGAAATTGCATATGATCACTGACATTGGCGGGGTAATATGCTTAAGAAAATCTATAATCAACTCTGGCTGTGTGTTATAATGTTCAAAAGTATTTGAGATTTCACAAAAGCATTTCTGCTTTTTTTCATGTAAATGTATTTGTGGTGCGATAAGCCCTAGGAGGCTAACAAAGGCATTGACAAGTAGGTTAGGAAAGAAGAACCTTCAACCATATTGATTGCTTGGAGTAAAATGGGGATGTAGGTCTGTTACACTTTAACGAGCAGGTTTCCAAGATTCTCTCTCTCTCTCTCTCTCTCTCTC